CCCCAAAACCCCAAAACCCCAAAACCCCAAAACCCCAAAACCCCTGCAAAGTATTTCGGCATTGAGATTTGTGTTTTTATAAATGGATTTACCAAAGTGCTGCAACAAGAAATGCTTCAGTATCTCAAGTGTTTATCTTGAGGAGAAGAGCAAATATGCCTGTCAGAGCTGAGCACAACTGAAGTTCCTCAAGGACCAAAAAGTTTTGCTAATCGATCCAAAAGTTCCAAATGATACACTGACAGGGCTCTCACAGTGCATCAAATTGTTCTCCCAATCTGTCGATGAAGATGACGATGAGGATACTATGGAAGAGGCTAAAACTCTCATTGCTAAATTTGACGAAGAAATAAGCAAACTCTGTTCAAAACTCGAGAAATCAAGTTCTGATGGGGCCTACCACCATTTTATGTCTATTCAGGAGGATGCCCAAGCACTTTTCGCTACTCTCAAGAAAGAAAACTTGTACATCGAATTTGCCACAAAATTTGTTTTTGACCAAACCTTGCATCAATGTTCGGGTAAAGAACATAGCAGCCAAAGCCATAAGACCTCTCAACCTCAGGTAGTTAATACTCCTATGCATGCAGTACAAGATGCTTGAGGAGAGGGTACTCCTTCTTGTAACAGCCAAAGCATTGGCCAAATAAAAGAGAGATTGGAAAAACTTACAGAGGAGATTAATAACCTTGACCCAAGTCTTGGCCAACACAAGACGACTACCTTGACAGTAATCAACAGTATGAAAACACTCTTGAAGCACTTTGAAGGACTCCATGAAAAGAGAATAAACCAACTGAAGAATTATGATGAGCTATATAAGACCGAACTAGAGCAGAAGGACAAGCTTATTAAGATTCTCCAAGACGATGCCCAGAAAGAATCAGATAAGCTTCATCAGCAATTATATGAAAAAGATCAAGAGATAGACGAGAGAAACAAAAAGATTACTGAACTCCTAAAGACGAAAGATGTTCCAATGGAGCTAGAACTGGAGTGTATGAAGGCGCAAACCTGAGATAGCACTGCTCTTCCTCAAATAGAAAGCTACACGAAAGGAGAATTCAGTGATCTCCACAACAAAAACGTGGGATATCCTTCAGAAGTAGATCCTGATTCAACTCTCACGTTAGACTTGGATGATAAGTCTCATCTGAAGCTTATCTCTGCGGCGAAGAAGAGGTTCCCTAATATGGAATGCCTAAAGATTTTCAGATTGAGGAATGTGAAACAAAGTATATTAAAGAAACTAATCGTAAATCACTGTCCTTTAGAAGTACAAAAGCTAAAAATGGGATTTGATACTTGCCATCGTTTTGATTACTCGATATATCTGAAAGAAATGGGATTGATAAGTAAATGTGTAACAAAGGAACTCCAGCTCTGGGATTTTAAATTTAAACAAGATAACATCGCGAAGATATTTGAAAACTACAAACACGTTGAAAAGATCAATTTTCATTTTTGTTTGTTTGAGATTTTTTCAAGCCCAGATTTTAGAGACTCCCTTCAAGGATCAAAGATTAAAAATATTTGATTCGATTATGTAGGATTCCATGTCTGGGGTGATTGGAAAATAGATCCTACCCATTTTATTAACCTAATCAAAGGTTTTAGCAAATCTGAGGACTTTAAAAAATCTATAGAAATGATTGAAGCCACCAGGAGTAGCTTATCTGATGAAGATTTAAAACCAATCCTGGACAAATACGGATTTGAGAATGTAGCACTGAATACTAAATTTGTTTCGGCAGATTACTAATAAAAAATCAACTCAATCTCTCTTCATTAACACGGGGTTTTGGGGTTTTGGGGTTTTGGGGTTTTGGGG